ATACTGCATTTTACAGAAATACATTTTTAATATATAATCAATAGAATATACTTTTTAAGATTATATTCAAAATGTAAAAAAAGTATATTTCAAAAACCATACTTCAGATATGTTGTTTTAAAATATACTTCAAGTACACTTTATAAAAATATATTTTATTAAATACACTTTATATTTGAAATAAACATATTATTTAAACTACACTTTATATATATGTGTTTTAAATACACTTTGTGAGTATTTGTAAAAGTGTATATTTTTAATGCACATTTCAAAAAAATTGCAAATATAAATCCAGTACTTTTCTGAAATTGTACTATTTTCAAATAGATTTTATGTACGTTGTTTTAACCTTATTTATAAAAATCATTTTCAAAAGAATATTTCAAGTTTTCTCCTTTGATTATTTTTTTCTTTCTTAAAAACCATCAGAGGCTGGAGAAGTGAATTTAAAGTTGCAAACTTGTTGAATTATTAAAGGCAACACGTGTAGTGCATTTGTTGAGAAAATAATTTATTAACGTGTCTTAATTATGTGGCTGATCCAATTAACTGAGCAAAAATCTGTAATTGTTATTCATTACTAAAACTTCTGGTGCATCCAAACATTTTAAATCCAATATGTTCAATAATTGTTCGGTTTTTTAGTCATTATTTTTGATGTCCTAATGGGATTTTAATGGTTATCTTGAATAAATTGTGCATGCACAAACGCTTAGTGAAAAGACTCTGTTTTTTTATATTGTCTCTGTTTTTAGCTATTAAAGATAACAGGTTTAGGAAATGTTTACTGCTGAAAAACAGACTTTTGGGTTTTTGATTTATACATGTTGACAATCCACATATAAAGGCAGATCGAATCATGAAATGGCTCCTTAAAATCATTTACATGACTCTTTTTGATTTACACATGCTGTTGAAAAACAAATCATTTGGAACATCTTGCTTTCAGATTTTTTATTTTTTTTATTTTTTATTTTTTTTGCTGGAAGCTGAACACATCAACCTAAAAATAAAAGTCCTGTAAATGCCAGTTTCAAAATAAAAACAAAGTTTTAGACTGCATGTGAAATGATTTATACTTGATTTTTGATTATTCACTGTGATGCTTGTGTCGGTACAGAGTGTAAAGTTTGGATTGTTAAACTAAAGGAACACATTTTTCCAACCTCTGTTCATATTTTGCGACTCTGGTGGGATCCATTCACAACAGAATTTTATCTTCACAACCTGCCAAGGCTCCATGTCATAGTGGGTATTTTTAATGGTAAAATCTGATTTGATAAAGTCTAAAATATTTAAATAAAATTTTCTGTTTTGGAGCTTAATTTAAAATTTAGTCCAAATATCTATATATACAAATGAAAACATTCTGATGATCCCAAAGGAAACACTTTAGGTTCACTTACGACGTGCTGAATTTACTTAACCAGGTTATGTCATTCCACTGCAGGGGTCTGCAACCTGCGGCTCTGGGGCCACATGTGGCTCCTTTGGTCCCTCTGCAGTGGCTCTTCGAAAATGTGACCAAACATAACAGAACACTTTTTTATACTCACAACAGAAATCAATTTGTATGCAAATATGTGATCATAATACAAAAAGTAAAACATGCTAGCTCATGGTAGCCTGTTGTTAACTTAAATAATCCAATTTCTTCCTATGATCTTTCTCTCAAATCCATCAGAATTACCTTTAAAGAATCTGAAGACTACATATTATTAAGATTTAGAAAAAATATGCCTGAATAATTAAGTTGTACTGGTTTTTGACGGTGGCTCAGTTGGTAGAGCTGATGCCTCTCAGCAAGAAGGTCACCGGTTCAAATCCCGGTCCGGGGACCTTTCTGGGTAGAGTTTGCATGTTCTCTCGGTGCATGCATGGGTTCTCTCCGGGTACTCTGGCTTCCTCCCACAGACCAAAAACATGACTGTTAGGTTAATTGATAACTCTAAATTGTCCCTAGGTGTGAGTGACAGAGTGAATGGTTGTTTGTCTTGTTTGTCTCTATGTGTGGCCCTGTGATGGACTTGCGACCTGTCCAGGGTGTACCCCGCCCCTCGCACTGTGACTGCTGGATATGGGCACCAGTGACCCACGCAACCCTGAAAAGGAAGAAGTGTGTACAGAAAATGGATGGATGGATAGTTTTTATGAAATTCATTGTAAACTATGTATGGTATTTTTTTATATGAATCTGGTCTTTCCATTTGTCCGGATGTGGAAAAATAATAATAAATAATAAAGTTCACAATATATTTCTAAGTTTTACAATGTCACCTCCACTGGCTGTGAAGATTCCCGAAAAGGCCTCGAAAAGGCCCACAGACCACCAGTTGATAATCACAGTTTTAGCTTGTTTTGTGGTTCTGGACACATTTTATTAGTTAGCTAAGTAGCAGAAATGACTCTTTTTATCGCAAAGGTTGCAGACCCCTGCACTAAACCAAGTAGAGAAAACTGAACACTTTACATTCTTTAAAGAAAGTGACAGTTGCTTTATTCAACTCAGCTTAGTGGAACCAGTTGACATAACCTAGTTTGGAAAATTCAACACTACATTTTTGGAGTGGTTCACAAATCAGTTTAGTCTTATTGACACTCATTTTGTCAGTCACAATAATTTCTCCTCCCAAACAAGTTTGATCAAGAACAGGGTCCATAAAGTGTAACAATGTGTGCAGAGGTGCTTAAACATGTTGGTGACATATTTGCACAAATATAAAAATCAGATATCAATCAAATCAAACCAAAGTGTATATTTATTTTATTAGAAGCATTAATACGAGGGGGAAATGTTCACTGATTGTGTGTTCACTTCCTCTTGTTTTTATTTGACTTTTTCAACCATTAAAAAAACACAAATAATGTGTTTTTGCGCATGCACTGTTGTGAGTTGCATAAAAATAATTTACATTTCCAAAAGGGCTCATTGTAAAACCTGATAATTTTGATGTTTTATTTGAAATTAGGCTGAAAATATCGTTTTCCCTCGTGTCTGTGTGCGTTCAGTAAACTAAACCAGAGACTTCAGCCCAAACGCTCCCTGTTCGAGTCTCTTTAATGATCCAGAGTTGCAGGACTGGAGGGGGAAACCTCGTGTTCCGTGCACGCGGGTGGAGTTGCAGCTGGAGATATCCCACAACAAGCTCCGCGCGCGGACCGAGAGGACAGTGATACTCTAAGATATACGCGTTCTACCATTTTTTTTTTTTTTTTTGCTTTGAGATGTGAATCGATCTGAGCACAAGCAGAACGGCTGGAACATCAGCAGAACCCGATATGGTTTGAGTGGGACCAGTCTGTTCATTCTGTTTGTTTGCGCTGGACGCGCGCGTAAATGACGGCCGCCGCACGGATTCCTGCTTTGTTTCCAGATCATCTTTATTTTCATTTAATATTAAGAATGAAAGAAGACAAAAACAAACGAGGAAACGAACAGAGTAAGTCTGAAACCGTTTTTTAAATATTTCCTCCTCACATCCTTGAGCGCAAGCTGCTGACCATTACGCACGGATCTGAGTGCGCAGAACAGAGCAGGCTCGACTTATTATTCTCAATAAAGGTCCAATAAAAGCAAAAAACGCGACTATAAACAAACAAACAATAAAAAATATTTTAGAAATCTGTGGCAGCTCTGCAGGGAGTTCTTACAAGATTAAATAATGCGTTGTAAGGTCACTGAGTGCCAAATGGTTCATCTTTGTGACAGGGTTCACGTAAAAGAAAATGTTACAAGCACAGATTGTATWAGCCCTCTATAGGTCACGCACCATATAAAATGTTAAAGAAATAACAGCATGTTGTGATGCTGTTTAAACCTACCCAATGCTCATGTACCCAAACTGATTTAGCTTGTAAGAGAAGATTTCTGGACTTAAAGAGACATTTGTTTCATTTTAAAACATGATGTCATCTCTGGTTGCAGTTTAACTTGGAAAAGTTTGCCCACTCAGGATGATGTGAGTTTTCCAGCAGAGTAAATGTCTGCTTCAAGATTTTCTAAAAGACTGGTTTGTGCATCATTATATTCATTCATACAGAGTCTTTTAGGCTTGTTTAAAAGGTTGCAGTGAAGATGATGAGATTGAACCTCCAGTACTGATGTAGCATGCAGCTGAATTCATTAAACACATGCAGGGGAGGAGAAACAAGTTATCTGATTGTATGAGCCTGACACTTGGCTGATGGAGACATTTATAGATGGCATTCTTTACTCAGTGTGATGCCTTTATGTATCTGAAAAAATATATTTTAGAGGGTCTCTAGCCTCACGTTTAGAAAAAAAATGGATACATTTCAGTGTAATGTAAATTTTCTGCTCTTATGTGGTGGAAAAAAAAGGTACATTTCAAGCGGGGTGGAAATGATTCTGTTGTCTGTGCTCTCAAGCTTTTCAGAAACCCTCCCTGGTGTCTCTCCTCTGAGAGAGTGCTGCATTTTAGCTTTAAGTAGCCAACTGATGTGAGAGATATCAGGCAAAATGAATGAGGAGAACCCACAGCGCTTTGATGGAAAGCACCTCTCAGCACACAATGTCCTTCCATTTGGTTGGAAGACTTGCACGGATTTGGACTCTGTAGTCCGGCTCTCACATTGAAACCTTTTCTTTTGCTGTCCTCTCTCACTTAGCCGCTGCTCAGACTCACACACATGCACAATACACACAGATCACACACACCTTAGATGTAGGAGTTGATCTGAAAGGGAATTAAATTGGCGACTCATCAGTAAATGCTGCACATATCCACTCCCTGCTTATTATTGTCACTAAATAAAAAATGGTATAGTTTATTGCTTACAGCACAGCTGAATTTGTAAATAGTGTGGTTTTATTTTATCAAAAAGGGTCTTTTTGGGGGAGCAATGGGCCCACTTTCAAAGTCCTCGCTCATATGAGTTCTTTATCTATCCCCACTCACCATAAACCATTTCTCTCATCTCAGTCACAACGCTGTGAAAATCACTTAATTGTCGCTAATTATTGAAAGTCTAAATTTCAATTTTAATCATTAATATGTGAGGATGTTTGATTATTGAATGGATCAACCAAACTGCCACTTCCTGAAACCTGTTATCATTATCATTGCTCATAAAATACAGTATTGATGTATAGGAGAATCTTAAAACATTAAGATGGCTACTGGAGCTCTAAGTGTATAATTGAGGTACTGTATACATGAAGTGCTGTTGAAAGCTACAAATATCTAATAAAACTGCTTTAGATTAAAAACTAGACAATTATTCATTTATTTGTTTGGTGCAAAATGTTCCTAAATATTAAATGTCAACTAAAATTTGCTGAAGTTGTTTACAGGTCTCTTGTAAAAAAAAACATTACCTGTAAGATTACCTGTCTAAATAAAAATAAATAAATAAAAAGCTGAAATCTAGTTGAACATGATGAAACTGCTGAAGTATGTTGAAGCTAAAAGAAATAAAAACTCACATTAAAAGTCTAAAAGTAGCGAAGTGCTAGCTATAGCCAAAAGAGGAAAAAAAAAGCTTGGTAAAAGCTAACTGTAACAAGAAGCTATTAGCTAAAGGTTAGTTAAAAGTAAACTAAGTAAAATTAAAAGAATGGAAGGGCTAGCTGAATGGTAAAAGTAAGGCTAGCAAAAAGCTAGAAATAGCAAAGAAGCTTTAAAAGTTGCATAACAAGAGGAAAAACAGAGCAAATAAGCTAAAGCAGATTAAAAAGAAAACAATGTTTTTGGAACTGAAAAAATCTCAATGTATTTTATATACGTCAACCCCTTCGGAGTATGTTTACCTGTACAATACGCCTCGAAAGTCTGTAATTTTTGCAAGCAAGTTAATATTAATCACATGCAAGGGGTTGGAGCAGGGACTGTCAGTCTGCAGCGCAAAGCAAGAGGAAAGGATGGGTCATTTGAGGTTATTTATTGATTTTTTTTAACGTCCTACAGGCTCTGAAATGTAAAATAAATTTGAAACTGAGTTTTTGAAAAAAAAAAAGCCGTTAAAAATCTGTGAGATTTGTCTATACATTACCTGCAAAATGACAACAACAACAACAAAAAAATCGGTGWAAATTACCGTACAGACAATCCGTACAACCTGACATGTATGCTTTTATGGGAAAATATTTGTAAAGAAAGTAAAAAAAAAAGTGAAAGTCTAAAAGTTACAAAACGCATTAGTCACAGCAGTCAAATCTCTTGCATGCTGCTGTGGTAAGCCCTGCAGACGGGAGCAGATAAAACAAAAAGAACAACATACAGATCTGTAGATTGCAAATCATTCACGGGAAAATAAAACCAGGAAAAGAATAGTGCTGACTCATCATTCACATGATCAGCATTAACTGTTACTGACTTTGATAGATACTTTAACAGGGTTTCTCAAACTTTTCAGTTTTTGACCAACAAAATAACGGCAGAGACCTGTGCCCCGAATTAGTTTTGGTTTATAAACATTGTTATCATGTTAAATAAACAAGAGTATAGTAACAATTTTAATTGTGCTATTTTTGTCCATTTTAAGTGCACTAACCTCACTACTTTGTAAAAACAAATGTTGTCAGTAGTCATTTTTAAATGTGATTAATTCAGAAAAAAATCTCAGGACCTGTGGGTCCCAACATCAACTTTGGGAACTACAGCGTTCACACGCTGAACACCCCAATTCTAATTCATACCATCTCTCTTGCTTTTCTTTTAACAAATACTTCAAATAATACTTTTCATTGACTGAACAGCTTCGGAGCTCGCCCGTCTCTTCTCCGGATTGTTCCCTTGGTGGATTTTCCTGTTGCAGTGGCAATCTGACTGGATTAAACAAAGTAACATTTCACTTGTAATAACACTGACAAACAGTTCAGCACAGCCGCAGTTTATCAGTAGGATATATGATCAACTGTTTACAGGAATCTATGTGATTGTGTTAGTAAATAAATAAATGACAGCAGTCTTTAAAGGAATGCCCACCACCTTGGATGCCAAAGTATTAAATGAAAATGGGCATGACTACACTGCAAAAAATGTCCACCTAACCAAGTTTTAAACTCTTATATCCAGCCAAAAAGTCTTTTTGATCTTGTTTTGAGACTGATTTACTAAACAAGAACTGATTGTGTAAGAATAATAATCTTGTTTTCAGAATGTGTAAGATTATTTGTCTTGTTAGTCTGAAAATTTGACTCAAATTAAGTAAAAAATTCTGCCAATGGAGTAACAAATTTTTACTTGGTAAGATTCTTGAAATACTTGATTTGACTCATTTTTTTTCTTATTTCAAGAATCTATTCTTACTCCATTGGCAGAAATCTTTGACTTAATTTGAGTCAAATTTTCAGACTAACAAGACAAATAATCTTACCCGTAGAACTGACAGAGGTACAAACATTTTTGTTTGTTAAGGTTATTTATTTGTGGCGTTTGTCTTGGATCAGGCTGACTCATACACTGTAAAAAATGAAATGTTGGATTTATTTAACCATGTTATGTTACCTGGTTCCACTTAACTGAGTTGAGAAAATTCAAAGCAGTATACCAGTTTTTTAGCCAAAGACCATGAGTACGTTGCTTTGAATTTACTCAACTCAGTTAAGTGGAACCAGGTAACATAACATGGTTAAGTAAATCCAACATTTCATTTTTAGAGTGTATCCAGTGATCTCTTTCTAAGCGTTTTATTAAAATCAATCCAGTGGTTCAAGATAAGTTTTATTTAAATATTGCATATGCAACATGCTGGTTTGAAATATTAATTTAGCAGTGTATGTGAAAACTATGACCCTATAAAGTCTTGTTTTATAACTTAATTAATTGTCCTGCTACAGTTATTAAATATGTTACGTAGTATGTTCTTTTTAAACACATCTAAATGAAATATGATAAACTTTAAAACAAAGTGGCCAGTACGTGAATGACTGCAGTGTTCTGGTTCTGGTTATTCTGAGAAAAGCTGTACATCTATGGCTGAATTTGTGTAAAATTTCAGGCTGCTGTTGTGTAACAAAATATTTTCCATACTCGTGAGCTGAGTAAGATGCTACAGTCGAGCGCTAGAGAAAGAGGCCGGGACCAGTTAGCATTAATATCTGGCTGCACTCGAAACTAGGCAAAAGTTTAGGAGTTTCATTTAAAGCATTACAAATGAATCATCCCTCTGCATCCTGTGCAGAGTGATGAATTATAGGTATTTGACCAAAGCGCATCAACAACAAATCTTATCAAGATGAGGATGAAGTGTGAAAGATTATTGATAATTAAGTAGATTGGGTAAAACACAAACAAGAGAGGAAAACAGTAAAGTATTTTAACTTCATCTTAAAGCAAAATCTTTTGTGACTTATTTACAGAGTAAGACCAACACGAACTCCAACACAAACAAGAGTTGCTCCCATCAGACTATTTCACAGATTTGACTTCCAGACATGTTTCAGTGGAGAAAAGCTGTAAAATGAATGCAGAAGCAT